TACATGGAGTAAATTTTGGAAAGAAAATGATCATTGGTGATATTGGACAGGATCTGTTTGGGCCACATGTTACAAACATGTAACATAAGGTTGCTGGATCACTGGCTGTCCTCATTCCTCTCCTCAGCACTTTAATAAGTCCACAATTGTATTTTGAGAAAGACACTCCTGTCCTTTGCTAAGCCTCACTAACTGGGCATGGGGAGAAATGAAGAAAGTTGGTTTGCAAGAAATTAGACTTCAGTCCAAGGACTCTCACAGCTGTAAGGAGAATTAAATACATTATAGGGCTGGGTAGTGATAGATGAGAATAAGGCAATTTCCAAGAGCTCAAATTATCATGGACTCCTAGAATGGTTTGGGTTGGAAGAGACCTTTAATATCATTCATTTCAAGCCCCCTTCCACTAGACACGGTTGCTCAAAGCCCCATCCAACCTGGCCTTCAACACTTCCAGAAACTGAGCACCCACAGCTTCCCTGGGTAATCTGTTTCAGTGCCTTACCACCCTCACAGTAAAGAACTTCTTCCTGTTCTAAACCCATCCTTTTTTCAGTGCACAGCCATGCCCCCTTGTTTTATCACTACATGCCTTTGTAAAAAGTCCCTCTCCAGCTTTCTTGGCCCCCTTGAGATATTGAAGGGCTGTTCTAAGGACTCCCTGAAACCTTCTCTTCTCCAGGCTGAAGAACTCTCACAGCTTGTCTCCATAGGAGAGGTGCTCCAGCCCTCTGAGTGTTTTCATGACCTCCTCTGTATTTGCTCCAACAGGTCCATGTCTTTCCTGTGCTGGGAATCCCAGACCTGGATGCAGCACTCCAGAAGAGCTCTGACCAGAGCAGAGTAGAGGGGCAGAATCACCTCCCTTGACCAGCTGCCCACACTGTTTTTGATGCAGCTCAGAATACAGCTGAATTTAGGGGCTGGAAGAATATGTTGCCAGCTCACATGAAGCTTCTTATCCACCAACACCCCTAGTCACAGAATCACAGAATATGCTAAGCTGGAAGACTCCCATCAGGATCATTGAGTCCACCTCCTGGCCCTGCATGGGACACCCCAAGAATCACACCTGAGAGCGTTGTCCAAATGCTTCCTGAGCTCTGTCAGGCTTGGTGCTGTGATCACTTCCCTGGGGAACCAGTTCCAGTGCCAAACCGCCCTCTGAGTGAAAAAACTCCCAAATCCTCCTTGGTGCTGCTCTCACTCCATTCATCTCTCAGCATGTATTTGGGATTGGGATTGCCATGACACCTGTCCAGGATCTTGCACTTGGCCCTTCCTGAGGTTTGCATGGACCCACCTCCCAAGCCTGTCAAGGTCCCCTCTGCACGGCATAGTCAGCTCTTTGATTTGCATGTTATGTAAAAAAAATTCATTTTGTATAAAAATGGGGCATGGGCAGGTGGGACAGTCCCCAAGAGGAAAGTAAGGTGCAAGAGGGGCAGTGAGGGAACTAAGGGGACAAGTTATATAACTTTCATGTAATTGAGAATAGTGTTTCAAATCAGCAGAAAACAGCATGTTGCTCCCCTTGTTCCCTAGACAGAAAGGCACAGTTCTACAGTCTCCTTTTATTGTTTTACTGATAAGCAGGCATTTCACATTTCTGACACCAAACAAAATGTCCTTTACAGAAGTCGGTGCCATGGCCTTTTCCAGCTGGAACGTTACAAGCACAGCCTGGCTGGCCAGCTGAAGTTTTGCTCCGTAACACAATGTCTCAGGGGTGGCTGCCCAAGGTGCTCCAGCTAGAAAGGGACTGCTGCTGGAGCCGCCAGCTTCAGCTCCTGCTCCCACCCTTGTCCCCATGGGCAGCAGTGCAAATACGGTGGAAACCTCCCAGCCCTTGGCTTGGCGTGCACTGGGACGACTCGAGGAGTACCTGACTTTGTGCTTCCATCCTGCAAACTCTGACTGCTCCCCAAGGTTCAGTCCTCTTCAGAAGATTTTATAAGGCCCCTATTGTGACCCCTACTGTTGGACTTCTCCTTTAAACAGCTTTAAAGTGGGCAAATTTTCCTTCTTTGATTCCCAAAGAGTATTTCTGCATGGCACAAAGCTGATCTTGTTTTACAGTGTCCAAGTAGGGGTCAGGATTACCCTTTCCTGGGGACACCCACCTCCTGGCCGGGCAATCCCTGTGACCTGAAATGACCCTCGTGGGCCACTGGTAACAAATGGAACAAAAGTTTGTTTTTTGCATTACTCAAGCAACGGGAACAGCAACCAGAATAGCTCGATTCTGGTTAGTCTCAAGATCTGAAAGTGGAGCTATCAAAAATCGCTGAATCAGAGGAAATGGATCTCTGACAACAATAATATTTATGAATTCTTATGAAAAATTGCTGAAGATGTTTTTGTTATTAAAAAAAAGGCAAAAAAGAACACCATCTTCAGAAGTGCCTGTGATATGTTTGTGCCTTGTTACTCAGAGGAAACATGCATGCTGTTTTTGTCAGCTAACAAAATACTTTCTAACAAGATATTCTGACAAGGCTGAAAATATCTTACACCAATGTGAGTCATTTTGGCTCCAAGTGCACATCTTAGAAAAAGGAATCTCAGGAAAAAAATTTAAATAAGCACTGGCATGAAAGACAGTCTTTAAGTGACAGGCTGGAAAGGCTATGCATATTTGTACTCAATACAGAACGATTGCTATGCTTCACGTTTTGCACTTTTTAAAAATGTCTTCTTTTTTTTTTTTTTTTTTTTTTTTTTTTTTTTTTAATGCCGAGAAAGAAAAAAGTCACCTAGTTTCTCTCCTAACTTTTGAACTCTGTTAACAAAGTTCATTACTTCGGAGGGCTGTGATTACTTTTTGTATGTAGCTGTGTGACCCCTGCTGGCAGATTCTTATCATGACTGCAGCAATTCAAACACACTTGTACAGATACTTCGGCATTCCAGTAAATCCTGCCCTACATACACAAGGAGACATAATACACAAGACGATATCATCCCTGCTCTGGAAAATAAACTCCCACGCTGGAGAGGTGTGAACAAAAACCATTGTATAACCCGGCTTTCTGCACTCACAGATATTTTAAAGGGCAGTTTTTAGAGTACCTTTGATAAATAGATATGACCATCTCAGGATGGGGCCACTGGTGTTTATTCAGGATAATGGTCTAAATGTTCATTATTGCTTGGAAAGCCCCTACACTTCATCCTGTTAGAAGCAGGGAGGTTACACCGAGGAAAGGATTAGTCTCCACTTGCATTCCTTTCTTGTACTCCTTCCCATGCCATCTGCTAGCATTCATTGTGGCAGAGAGGATACCAGCTAAATGGACTTTTATTCTGACTCAGCACGGCTGCAGACAGTCTGTCCTCTGCGATACAGTGGCACAGTATAATTTGATACTTTAAAAAAGCTGGCCATTCACCTGCCAGACCACAATGCAATTTGCACTTAACAGTCCCGCTCTTTGTGATAGCCAAGGTCATTTCTATTATTACAGCACAGTGCACGGAAATACCACAAATACCAAGAGAGTCTTATCTATTTATCATAGGTGAAACTGGCACGCTTTGCAGCACGACGGCTCCACAGCGGATCACAGGCACTTTGAGTTCATTTAATTAAGTTTATAGTCAGGGGCTGGCTCCCTCAGTTGGGACCTCAGTGGATTCCATGCATGTCTGTATCTGTGATGCCACTGCTGCACCCACTCCTCAAGGGTCCAGCTTCCACACTGACTCTGCTCTTGGACACAAGGCTGAAAACACAAACATGCCAGAAAAAAGGCGTTGTTAGAATTAGCGGTGAGAGCCATAGGCGAAGAGCAGGCACAGATCTTCCTCCTTCCCTCCCTACCTGGCTTTACACACCCGCTCACACCTAAAACACGCTGGTTTTAGCACCTTGCCCTACCAGGGCAGAAAAGAGAGATTATACCCCAATGCTCCAGCGCTGCTGCAAAGCCCAAACCTCCTGAGACCCCAGAGCCCACCTGACAGGGTCTGAAGGGAGGAGCAGGGCAGGGTCCAGCGCAGTCAGACATCCATCATTCCCCATAAGGAACCCCGGTGTCCCACAGCTGGGTTCTCCCCGGGGCAGTAGCAGGAGCAGCAGGTGGAGCCCAGAGCTCTGAGCCCTGAAGCCTTGAAGCGGTGAACCTTGAGGCCCCGCAGCCCTGAGCCTTGAATCCCTGAAACACTGAATCCCTGACTCCCTGAAATCCCAAATCCCCGAATCCCGGAGCCGCCCTCAGGTGCGAGGCGCG